TACTTTATTTTATTTATCATTACATTTTATTTTAAAATATAATAATGATGTCCTTTTATCATTAGGGCTATGGAAGGATACCATATGCTTAAAGGTTCAAAGTTGAAGAAAAAAATGCTTTGGGTCTCTCTTAAAGTAAGTTATTTTAGTAATGATATTTTTTCTAAGGTATTTTCTTTTGAATTACCATTACTACTAAAATTGGTTTTTATATTCTTTTTGTAGTCTCATAAGCAAAAAGGAAACTATGAGTGCGGATACTATGTAATGAAGGCAATGCATACTATTGTTGATTCACAAATAGTATCTGGGTGGACTGAAGTACGTTTTAGAATTTTAAAAATTTTTATTTTAAGTTTGCATTTTATCATGTTTTAAGAGTTACTTCTAATTGTTCTAAATTTTCCTAACAGATATTTATAGATCGATCACCATTGTCGCTAAAAGATATAAACATCATTAGGGAGCAATGGGCTACATTTTTCATTGAAACATTGGCTAGCTACGAGTTATGTTTATAGTTTTACTCATTTTGTAGTTTAGGATGTATAATAATTTGTAAGTTACTTTGATTACATATATGGTTGACATTTACCAACTCTTGTCATTTGTATGTAATTTGGTCCATTAAAAACATATGAATTGTCTGGTATTTTATTAATTTGTAGGTTTTGTTCAGGAATCCTCCTAAAACAAGTCAAATATTTTAAAAAAATTAACCACTTTTAACATCGGTCATGCCATAACCGATGTTAAAAGTCTAACTTTTAACATCGGTCAAGCATGACCAATTTTAAAAGTTAGACTTTTAACATCGGTCAATGACCGATGTTAAAAGTCTCACTTTTTAAAATTGACTCTTTTAAAATCGATCAGAGAACCGATTTTAAAAGTCAAAAGTGACCGATTTTAAAAGTGTTTTTTCCACTAGTGACTTTTCAATTTCGTTACTATTGTTTTTCAAGAATGTCTTCTTCATCTTTAACTATGTTATGGAAACAACACCTCCATAGGTTAAATCAAAATTATCTTATGGTAAGTTAATATATATTGCATAATGTTTACAACTAATATTATTCATTACTAACATTTCAATTCTACCATATTCGCAAACACAAGTGATCAAGTGATTCAATCTTACTATCATTCCATGCTTACACCTGACTCAAGCATTGAGCATTTGTTGGAGGTTGCTGGCTTTGGCGAGGGTGAACTTCTTCCATTCAAGAGCAATTCATTCGGTGTTATCCCCTTTGAAGAAGATCCGTGCCTAGAAGAAGCTAAGGAGGAGTCCATTCATCACTTATTCTTCCTTCTTCTATCAATTCTAGAGTTTCTTATCATGAAAACAACAATCAACATAACATATATTTTAATAAATTCACAATAATTACTAAAATGTACAATGTAACAAAATACATGATAGAATTCGATAAATCTATATCCTATCATGTATTTGATATTTATTCCAAAATAAAATTAGATTATATTATATATGATAAGATTTTGAAACATGAATGAATCATCTTGAAACAGGTATAAGAAAGAAAGGAACTTGACCCTAACCACGACCTGCCGATAGAACCAAAGTTATTAAAAGAAAAGTGTGACCTTAATCGCGACTTGCCGGTAGAACCAACATTATAAAGTTCTAATCCAAGAACAAAAAAAAAATTTCACAAAGAGAAAACTCAAATATGTATTGATTTCCAATCAGCCTTGTATGCTTACAAGAGAGAGTCCTATTTATAGAGTAGGATAACACGCTTTCACTTAATTGAATTAAATTCCCACTATCCCCCACTAAGTCTCCACTAGACATTTAAGTCCCACTATCATTTATTTTCCACTAAGCAGCCTAAGAGACAAGGAAAACCATATAAAATAAATAAAATGAAAATTACATAAAAATTGGATTTCAGCCTAAAACTACTTAAACTCTCGCCCTTTTACGCTTCTTCTTAATCATATGAGTTTGGGCTTATCATGTTGTCTTTAATTTGGGTCTATGCTTCATTAGCTCTTAAGAAGGTGATCCATTTTGATACAACCGTTGAACTTTGATCTGAACCTTCCTCGATTTTTATAATTAGTTCTTGTAAAGCTTGTTTCATCCACTTCATCTTGAACCTTGTCATGGGACCTCCAATATTATTCAAAGGATCTTTGTCTTGACAGGTTGGATCTTCATCAATAATATTATGTACTTTAAATAAATTAAATAATAACATGATACAATACTTTATGTTTTATTAGTTCATCAAATTATAAATTAAAATAAAATATATTAATTTATCTTATTTTTTTCTTATCATATTTAAAAAATAGACTATAATCTTATATAACATATGATATTTTATTGGTCATCAAATTATAAATGAATAACATATTTATTAAATAAAATTTTAATATATATCTTATAGTAAATATTTTGTTATGACACTTGTGAGAAAAAAAGCATTTCGTGCCTTATTAGTATTGTAGAATGTAAAAGTTAAAAAAAACAAACAAACGATTATATTATAATATTTTTGAAAAATAATAATTTTTATTTAAATTAACTAAGTGAAATTATCGAATTATCATCCACTAAAAGAAATAAAATTGTGTAATTACCATAATGAAAAAAGAATAAAAATATCCTAAATTTGTGTACATGAAAATTGTGAATTCTCTTTATATATTGTTATAAATTATTAGATTTAAACAAATATTTCTTTTTTTAATGTTATTTTTCTTGATATGATTATTCAACCTATTAAAAAAGTCATTAGTGCTTATGTTGAAAATATACTAAAATATAAAAAATTTGTTACTTTCAATTTATTTATTTATATTTAGAAGTATATAAAATCTAAAAGGATAATATATAAAGAAGAGATGAATTTTTATGCACTATTAATATTAAAATGTTTATGTTGTTAATTAATAAAAAAATTCTTAAATACCACTTTTAAAATAATAATTATAATTATTAATAATTTTATCATACATAAATAAAAAAATGTAAAGGTTGTCTACAATATTTATATATTATAATTAATTATTCTTTTTAAAATAATTGATAAAATATTAAATACATATTGATTAATATATCATGAATACTTTATTTTTTTAATATATATTTTAAGGTCAAATGATAAGAAAAAAAGATATTAAGTAACACAACACTTATATAAAATAGAAAAAGTACAACAATTTTATACACGTGATATATCAAATTCATTATAATAAATAATAATTGTGTTAAAATATATACGAATACTAATTAATAAATAATATTATAAGTTAGCCTAGTGGTTGAGTGAGGAAGAGTTGAGATAGTTAGAAGCATGGGGGACCTAGGTTCAATTCTTATTACGATATACTTAAAAATTATTAATATATATTGAATTAATTAGTATTACGTTTAATTTTTAAATTTTAATATCTTGAATTTGAGTGTTGAATTTATAATAATAAATAATTAACATTATTCTATATTATTTAATATTTTAAAAATAAAACTCTCTAAAAATTATACATATGAAAATAGAAATCATTTTTATATATATTAATAAAAGTGAGACACTCGATGATGAAAAAATAAAATAATAAAATAAAAGAATATATAATTAATTTCAAATAATTATACAAATTAGTTAAAAGATAAAAATATATTTTAATAAATTAATTTTTTAAGGAAATATTTTAACAAATTAGTTAAAAAAATAAAAAAATAGACACTTAAATAAGATATTTCTTTATTAATATTATATATATATATATATGTAAATAATAAATATTCACAATTCTCTCCATTGATTCTCTCTTTTAACTTTCAATTATATTATTTCAATATTTTTCTAATAATATATCTCAAAACTTATATTATATTTTAAAAAATGACACATATTAACATACAAAAAATTCTTTTATGAACAATTATATTCCACAATAAAATGAGAAAAATACTGTAAACCAAAGAGAAATATTGGCATAAAAAATATGATTTTAGAGAATCACATAATAGAAGAAAAAAAAAACATTTAATAAAGAAAAACCCTCTTTATACAACACAACCAATTAAATACATAATTCAAAAAGAGGATCATAAACCCTAAAGTCCTCACTTCCTCTTCTCTCCCTCAAGCTTAGAAGCTGCGCAGGTTTTCCCCTTCTCTGGTAAGCATACTCATTTCGTTTCTATGCGTTCAATTCACATTCTTTCAAATCCTATTCAATTCTCAACGTTAATGGTAACAGGGAATCGAACTGAACCAAACGGTGTCGTTAGAGAGGGTGTGAATGGCAGGGGGAAAGGCGAAGAAGGAAAAGGGGAAGCCCCAGCAACAGCACATGCCTTACCAGGGTGGAATATCGTTCCACAAGTCAAAGGGTCAACACATTCTCAAAAACCCTTTGCTTGTGGATTCCATCGTGCAGAAGGCCGGCGTCAAATCCACCGACGTCATCCTCGAGATCGGCCCCGGCACCGGAAACCTCACCAAGAAGCTTCTGGAAGCCGGCAAGAAGGTTATTGCCGTCGAGATTGACCCTCGGATGGTTCTCGAACTCCAGAGACGGTTTCAGGGCACTCCTCACTCCAACCGCCTCACGGTATCAAAATTCAACAATAATTTAATAGCAGAGATTGTTCACAATTCTTTTTAGCTTGTTTATGCCGTATATACTTATCTAACTGTTTAGAAGAGGTTATGAAAATAGCTTATTTCAATAAGGGTATGTTTGGATAATCTTGACACTTATTATTTATAGGAGAAGGAAAAATGGAATTGGGTTCTTGATGCATAAGTTAAAAAAAAAAATAATTTAGAAGTTAATAGGAGAGAGTTTTTACTAATTGGTCTATGCACAAGGTCATTTTAGCTTATGGAAAAGTTAATTTCATTTTTCCTTTTTATTTTTTTTCTCTTGTAAATGCTATAGAGAAGAAGTTTATCCAAACAGGTCTTAAGGTAGGGTGGTGGAGACAACTTACAACTTGTATGAAATAGCTTGTGCACAAGTGCTTACATTGTAAGCACTTAGATTCTGATTGGATAAACTTCTTCGTAGAACTCTTACAAGCGAAGAAAATAAAAAGCTAAGAAATTGAAAGCTCTGTTTGGATTGATTTTTTTATGAGCACGTCTTAGAGAAGTTAGATGAAAGAGCTTTTATTGAAGTAAAAGTGTGTAGGGTGATTTTAAATTAGGGGAGAAACTCAATTCATTTTACGTTTGTATTTTTCTTTTCCTTCAAGTGTTTGTGAAAGGAATTATCCAAACAGGGTCTTGAAAAGCGTTTTCAGTCTCCTAGTAAATCATATTTTATTTTTTCATGATTACAGGTTATCCAAGGTGATGTGCTGAAGACGGAACTTCCTTATTTTGACATATGTGTTGCAAACATTCCATACCAAATATCTTCTCCTCTAACATTCAAGTTACTCAACCACCAGCCTGCCTTTAGGGCTGCAATCATAATGTTTCAGAGAGAATTTGCCATGCGATTGGTTGCTCAGCCTGGTGATAAACTCTATTGTCGTCTTACGGTGAATACTCAACTTCATGCTCGAGTTTTCCACCTTCTCAAAGTTGGAAGAAACAACTTCAGGCCTCCACCTAAGGTTGATTCCTCTGTAGTGCGAATTGAGCCCAGGAAACCCCGAATTGAAGTAAAACAGAAGGAGTGGGATGGATTTTTGCGAATATGTTTTAACAGGAAGAACAAAACACTTGGTTCTATATTTAGGCAAAAAAGTGTGATCTCATTGCTTGAAAAAAACTACAGGACTGTGCGGGCGTTGGAACTTGGGAAAGAAGATTCAGCGAAGGAAGTGGATACTAAAATGGACTTCTCTAGTTTTGGTGATGATCAAGGTATGGAGATGGATGATGATGGAGATGATGATGAAATGGAAGTTGAAGATGGGGAAGCAGATGGAGTGCAATCTGAATTCAAGGACAAGGTTTTAGGAGTTTTGAAAGAGGGAGATTTTGAAGAGAAGAGGTCGTCCAAGCTTACATTGCAGGAATTCCTATACCTGCTTTCACTGTTTAACAAAGCGGGCATACACTTCTCCTGATTTTAGATTATCAATTTTTTTCTTTTTCAATTAGTCTTATTGTTATTCAACAGTTTTTCAAGAGAGTGGTGTCAGATAAACGGAATTTAACTATTTATGCATTGTATTGTTGCTGAGCTCCTTTATAGATGTATACTATATAATCTATATCAGTGATTAAGAGTTTGTTTGCTTGCACTTTTTTTCTTATGAAAGCGCTTCTTTTTAATAAAATAAAACACTTTTTTTTATGTATTTTCTATTTTTTTTATATTATTATTTTTTTAAATAAGTAGCTTTCTGTTTTTTTTAAGAAACAACTCCTATCTTCTTCTTAAAGAATTGCTTTTTTTGCCTTCTTAAATTTGTTTCGAAACACTTATTTTTAAATTTAAACAAACAAACACTAAATGTTGTTCTTATTCTATTGCTTTATGATGGTCTACATTTGCAACTTTTTGTACAATATTCTCATTTTCTCTTTTTGATGCACTCTAGTAGCTGGGATCGTGGTTGATGGTTGAGACATATTACTGTACCGACATATCAATATTTGGTTATATAATTTTGTTACATGCAAGTTACATTTTAACATTAGGTACTAAAAAGCATAGGTAGAGTAATAAGACTGTTGGATGAGAATCGCTCCACTATGCGGTTGTGGCATGTGGCATGTGGTGAACTGCTCTCAACTATTTATGCATTGTATTTTGTTGACGTCCTTCCTGGATGTATACACCACTTTATTATAATCTATAGCAGGTATGGTTAATTGTTGGTCTTCTTCTATTGTTTTATGAGTAGGATTTGCATTTGCAACTTTTTGTAAGATTTTTCATTTTCTCTTTTTGATGCATCCCTGATGGTCTAATCAGGGTTAATGATTGGGACTTGCAAGGCATATTACAGTACAGATGGACTAATATTTAATTACATAGTTTTTATTATCACATGCAGGTTAAACTTGAACATATGTGCAAAAAATCATAGATAGTCTGTTGGTGATTTGATGACATTTAGTTACGAATATGCATCCTATTAATAATTAGGGGAAACTGATTTCTTATTTTTCAATAATTTAGAAGACGATGTGTTCGGTCTTTGCAATTTATTTTTTTTGTTTGCTCTATATAGTTATTTAGCACCTTGCTACAAGGTTCTTATGAAATTGATACTTTGAGAAAAAAGTATTTCATTTCAAATCTAAATTAGGAGTCCTACAGAGTGATTGATTATTTGATTTTGTGTACAACACCTGTTGAAATATTACCTAACATTTCAGAATCTCTTATTAATATCTATTCTGTGACTCATCTGTTCAGTGGACAATTGCATGCTTTGTGTTGAGTTGGACTTCCTAGTTCTTACAACCATGAACTACTTAAAACCCTCCTTTTCTGTTGTGCTAAAGTCTATTTTATGTAGAATCGAAATATCATACTCAGAAACAATTTTTTGTTCCAAATTGGTTTCAATACAGTTCTAAACCATTTCGCAAAAATTGAAACTGGTTTGCGCAAAAAAGAAAGTGGAAAAAAAAGGAAGATATTCCAAGTTACTTTGGTCTTTCTTCAAAATCAAGCCATGAATCTTCCATGCTTCAATACAACAGATTTGACATTCCAATTTAAGACACAAATGGTAGAAAATTTAAAAGTAAATAGTTTTTTTTTTTTTTTTTTTTTTTCTATTTTTTAAATAATTTTTCTAACCGTTTTGACCATTAAGATGACCTTTGTTTGTGTTTTTTGCTTGTTTAGGTAGAGGTTGGCATCCTCTGCAATAGGTTGCTAGACATTGTGCGTCTGTGACTGTGACGTATGGTCAGTTCGGTGTATTTTTATTTGAGTGATCTGCAAATTGAGTGTGCTTTTATTTTCTTTCTGTAGATCTGCTTTATAATTTGACGTGTGATAATTAAATGAGAAATCTCATACCATAAGCTTAGCTTGACATTGAGCACATGACATGTGGAACTTGACCTCACATTCAGTTAATAACATATTCTCAAATCAGTTCATATGTAAAATATTTGAAATGGCAAAATACAGAAAAGGCCGAAAGCATCAAGGTAGCTATGAACTATTTTTTTGCTTGCTATTTTTTGGATTGTGATGTGTTGAGGTACAATATGCCAATCTTACAACCTTTAATATGTAAATAACAGGTTGATTAACTATTGTAGAGTACTTTCTAAAACTACGCCTTTGGGTTAGTTTACCATAGTGTTCTTATGGGCCATAATAATATTAGTGCCACGTGTATTTTTTTTTTGAAGCCATGATTGTCATATTATTAAAGTCGTTACAGCCGGTAACGCTTCATATATAGTCGCTATAGCCTATAGCGATACAAATCGGTTTCATATAAAATCGTTATAGCTTATAGCGCACCAATTAATTTTATTTTATTTAAAATTTTAGTATATAATATGTTTTAAAAAAATATGATTTATTTAATTTTTTTTATAGTATATAATTATAATTTATAAAAAAATTAAATATTTTTTTAAAAAAATAACTGAAGCGAAATAATATAAAAAATTGGAAAAGCAAAAAAATGAATGTTAAAATAAAAAAATAAAAAAAAAATGATAAAATAAATGTGGAGCAAAATACATGTGGAAAAGAAAAAAAAGGAAAAATATAAAAGAAAAAATTAACTGAAAGAAAAAATGTAAGAAAAATGAAAAAAAAGAAGTATAAAATAAAAATATTTTAAAAATTGATAAAATAAATGTAGAAAAAGTAAAAAAAATAATAATAAGTGAAGACAAAATGTAAAAAAAATGAAAAAAAAAGAAGTATAAAATAAATTTTTTTAAAAAATGTTACATTAAATGTGGAAAAAGAAAAAAAAAAGGAGGTCGCTATAATTTGAAAAACAATATGTAAATATATTAACGTTTTTAAATTATTTTATGATAAGTTTCTTTTTACTGTTACGGTGCCACATGTTAAATTTTTATTGGGTGTTTTTTGTAGTAAAAATGACAGTGGCGATTGGCGAACATTTTTTTTTACTATCTAGAGTCGTTATGGTCCATAGCGACCTCAATTTCTTTTTTTTAATTATTATTATTATTATTATTTTTTGTCTAAAGTCGCTATGGGTTATAGCGACAAAAAGTCGTTATGAGCTATAGCGACAAAAAGTCATTATGGCTCATAGCGACCTTGACTTTTTTTTTTTTCTCAAAATTTTTTGTTTTTTGAGTCATTGGGTCATTTTTTTTAGATTTATTTTACTAATTTTTTTTAAAAAAATTTATTTTGTAATTCATTTTTTTTTGCGTTTTTCTATATTTTTTTTTCTTCACTTATTTTGGGTTATTTGTAAAAAATCTTGTGTTTTTTAATTATTTTTTCTCCAGATTTATTTTTTCTATTTTGTTTTAAAAAATTAATTTTATAATTTATTTTTTTTCTTCTACCTTTTTTTTTACATTTTTTTCCTTCTACCTTTTTTTTACATTTTTTTCCTTCAGTTATTTTTTCCTTCTATATTTTGTTTTTTATTTTCCTTTTTAGATGTATTTTTTTTTCTATATTTAATTTATCAATTTTTTAAATAATTTTATTTTATGCTTCTTTTTATTTATTTATTGCATTTTCTTATATTTTTTTTCCTTCAGTTAATTTAAATAAAAAACAAGTATACAAATAAATATTTTTAATAAAATTTATAAATAAAAATATGGAAAAAGAAAAAATAATAATAAATCAGGTCGATATGGCTCATAGTCCCTGTAAATAATATATTTATTTAAATAAATATATATTATATAAAATAAAAAATTGTTTTTAAAAAATCTTGGTTTTTTGTAAAATTTTTATATTTTATACATATAATTTACAGTATATTTTTTTTTCTAAGAAAAAAATATTTATTTTTTATATAATTCAGCTATTTAAAATGGGGAAGGAGTTAGGGATGGCAACGAGTTTCATGATACTTGTCCTCGTTCCCGCGAGTTAAACTCATCCCCGTCCCCGTCCCCATACCCGTCGGGTATAGATTTCATCTCCATCCCCGTCCCCGTCGGGTATCGGGTATACCCGTACCCATATCCGTACTCGTCAAATTTTTTATTTTTTATTTTTTGCAAAAAAAATGATATTTTTAAATTATTTTTTTATTATATTATAATTATAATTAGGTTATTTCTTTATCTCATATTATAATAAATAATCACACAAAAAAATTAATTTTTTTTAATATAATTAAATTGAAAGTGAGTATTAAATTAAAAATGAGAACAGGGACTAGGGATGACAAATAAACCCGTACCCGTGGGTAATACCCGAACCCGTCCCGACTTTGACGGGAATACACGCTTTGACCGGGTAAGGGTACGGGTACGGGTAAAACCCGATAAATGAAATCGGGTACGGGTACGGGTACGAATATATTTGTCATCCCTAGAAGGAGCCCGTACCCGTACCCGTACCGTACATGATTTAATATATCGGATTTTACTCGTACCCGTACTTGTACCCGGTCAAACCGGGTATTTCCCGTCAAAGTCAGGATGGGTTCGGGTATTACTCGCGGGTACAAGTATATTTGCCATCCCTAGAAGGAGCCCATAGCGACATTAGTAAAATCATCGCATCTGGTAAAGACTTCTAGTGGCTAATTTTAAGCCATTTGTAGTTATAAAAAAAAACACGTAGTACTAGTGTTGTTATGACCCATAGCGACACTGTAGTAAACAATCTCAAAAGCGTAAATAGTTTCAAAACAACCTCATTTACGTAATTAATTTTAAAAATTACCTCAAATTGGTCAATCAGTCTAAATAACATTGAAAGCATATTACCAATATCTAGATTTTTTGTTGCACAAAGGTTAGATTTGAAAATTGGTGCTAAAAGTCCCAGGTAGTCTTTTAGGCTTTGTTTGGATTTGAGGATGGAAAAGAGGGAGTGAAAAAGGAGAGATTTGAAGAGAAAGTGAGTAGAAAGTGAGGTTGTTTGGATTAATGGAAAGTGAGTGGAAAGTGTAGAGAAAGTATGTGAAAGTTTGTGAGTGAATTGATTGATGTGATAAATAAAAACAAATTTTTTAATTAATAATTATATAAGATTACTATTTTGCCCTTAAGTTAAAAAATTTATAATTATTATAGTTAAAAGATAAATATATAAATTTTAATTAAAAAAATTATAAAATATTAAATATTAAATATTAAATATATATATAT